AATAAAATACTCCATGAGTTATCAGAAATGTATGTTTTTGTATTTTTTATTGTTAAAAAAATCTGCTGTAAACCAAAAGCTAGAATTCATTTGAAACTAAAAATGTGCAATGCCACTAGAATACTATTTGTGTCCCTGGTTTTAACCCCCATCCGAGTAACATCTATCAGTCACTGAAGTGCACCATTACTTTTTCAGCTGCATTTATACATGCCAGTCCAACTTTGGTGGAAAATGTTGTTTTTACAGTATGTTGGACCACATTCAGAACAAAAAGCTGATTGAGCATAAGCTTTTCCTTGTTTTTGAAGATATGTTTTCGGAGCAAGATTAAGGTTAAAGCTGGGGTAGGAAACTTTGCACAAACCAGCAAGAGTAAACTTACTTACTTAGTAAATTTTGAAAGTATCCAACTGTAAAAAAAATCCCAGTCACTCCTTCAAAGCACATGACACCTGCGCTGTCTGATGAGTGCAGGAGGACGAGTCAAAGAGAGAGGGTTGGAGAGAGGAGTGCAGCACATCACTGTCATCGCTAACCATATCCAACTACCTCAGGTCTCATTCACATGTAACAAAGCACCTGACATTATCATGATGAACATAAACAACAGGCTCAGGTTAAAGGGTTAAGCAGAGGAAGTTGTGCAAGAGGGAGGACAACCAGCGGGGTCTGAGGAAGTGGAGGCAGAGGACAGGGAGGTCGGAGATTTGTGTTTTTCAAATGACAAATGACAGACAACCAGAAAGGCTTCAGAAAAGTCTGATTTATCCTCGAGTCCACCTGTTCTTTAGGTCTGTACTGAAATTGAGTCAACAGCACTGCAAACTTCACAAGAGGAAAATACTGAACTAACTGCTATATTTTACTTCCTGTCCCCGGCATTAGAAGAACAACCATTAAAATAAGGCTTCACCAACATTTCAGGTTCAGTGACCGCGTGGAAACTTCAGTGCTAGAGCATCACTGAGTAACACATCCAGTTTGGAGTTGAGCAGCAGCGTCTGTGTTGCGTCAGAATGCTGCCTATATGACAGCCTTGTCTGGGTTATTTTTACCCAGTGTCGGTCTGCTAACTAAGCTCCACGGCCACTAAGTGACGGGGGATAAAAGTGTCAGGACCCCAAATGCATGTGTGATCCTCTTAACTATCAAACAGCACAACACTCAACAACAACAGACTAGCAAAGTAAACATGACCGAGGTTCACATCAGCATCCTTCTCATTCAGTATATTATAATATTAATATATTTATAATAATAATATTTCAATGTTTTAAAAGTTTGATTTGATGAACTGTAATGAGGTTAAAGCTGCACCATAACATTTTTTTTTTAATCAAAGCCAACATGTAATGTGAACATTTAATGATAGAGATGAACCCACAGAAAATTATCACCCATCTCTGTGGTTCCCCTCAGCTCTGTGGAGAGTTTTACTGTCTTTCAGCTCATTGTTTTGATATTACAGCTGGAAACTTTGCTGTTTTGATTTACTCTCTCCGCTCTCATCATCCATGTTTTCAGCCGCCGCAGGAAGCTGCTTTCAGCTTAAAAACTCTGAAACATTATTCTAACTTCCTGTCCAACAAACAGGTAAAGTTAGGGACTAGCTAAATTAACAGCTCCTGCACGTTTCATCCTTTAAATGGCACATGAAGCCTCATTTTATAAGATAATACTTCTACATTGACATCTAAATTGACATATGACAGCACTGTTGTTTGTAAATGCATTCAGATCAAGCATGAGCACAGCAGTATGACACTGCACTAGCAGATGTTTCATCTTTAACCTGGGCTAAATGTACATTGCTGCCATTTTAATTAGTCAGTACTTAAACTACTGGTTTTAAAATGTTTATATATGTAATCCTGTTAGTGCCAATGCTGATTAATTAATGGTGTGATCTATGAATAAATGAAAACACACCTCCAAACAAACACAGAACCTGTTGTTTCTGGTCCAGCATCTCGCTTCCCATCATCAGCTCGTATGTGTGTGTGTGTGTGTGTGTGTGTGTGTGTGTGTGTGTGTGCGCGCACATCTCCACATACGTAAGCTTGTCTGTTTACAAATGCCAGAGTGGAGATGGTTATCTCTCTAATGTACTGTCACTGAATAATAGTGTAGATCCAATTCCATTAATGACGAAGGTGACTCTGTAAAAACAGGAACACCAGTCTGACCAGCTTCCACTGAAGTGAAGGGTTTGTTCTGTGACGGGCTGCAACTAACAGAGGTTAAACAAAAAATAAATAACGTTTTTAAAAGTCTTCGGTCACCAGTCAAGTCAGAAGATCCTTTTCAGCTCAGTGGGTCGAGTCGAGGTGCGCACGGTGCCAGGGTCGGTGGCTTGTGAACATGAACGCACTCACAGTGCTGTAAGGGCTTTGCATCCAAGTGCCAACCTGGTGACACGTGTTGTTCCCTCATATGAACTTCACAATAATGTGGCGCAAACCTTTCTTTTCTCTGATCGGCATTCCTATTTTAAGAAGTGTTAACAAGTGGCCAACATGGCTCGACTAGAGGCAATTAAAATGCTCAGTGAAGTGAGAAGCAGGGCAGATGGTCAAGCAGAAACGTGGCACAGTCCAGCTTGATGCACAACTGGACAGACAGGTTTTCTTTGCTAAGGTCTGAGGCACAATGTGTTTTCCATCGCCATGCCAAAATCAATGTATGGTCGGTGATGAAATGGCTTCATTTTTCTTATTGCTTACAACCGTTTCTTCCTTTCAACCTTTTGAGCCCGTATTTGATTTAAACGAGATGAAAGTTAATAAATACTACAGACGAGCTGTGATTTGAGCTGAGTAACAAACTTCAATACTTTTAAGGCCCGAACAAATTGGTTTGATATTATCAAGGATCAAAAAATACTTTGTCATTCGATACCAAATTTCAATACCTAAGGAGGAAATGAGTAAATCTCAGTGAGCCAATAAGCATGCAGCATGCTTGGACCAAGATCTAATAATGCTGGTGATAGGCTGTTTATTTACACTAACACTGTGTAAAGAGGCCGAGCTTAAAAACAAGGCAATTCTGTCTCCAATAACAACCACTGTCATTTTATGAAACTATCCGTAGCCTGTGCACCAGCGATCCTAAAATGTAGTCTCCAGGGTCCAGACTGCTGCTTATTTCTTATTCTACCTGGCAGTTTTCGTTCTTGACGTCTAATCAGAGGCTTATTTAGCCTGGGACACCAGATGAATTCAAACTAACTGTAAAGAAGAAAAACCAGCAATACTCCAGACCCCAAGGACTGTATCTGAGGATGGCTGCTGTAGACTGTGTGACAGACATTGATTTTGTCCTAGGACTAAATGCATATCCAGGCTGAAGGCAGAAACTTCACTAGCATCTAGAAAACATAGGCATCACTCCTGTGGGAGTATGGCTCTTTACCTGAGGTATTTGATTGCAAGGTTTTTCATGCTAGGGGCATTTTAAACGTGTGTCCTTGATTGAGGTTAAAGACCCAATCTATGTTTTATTGTACTTTCATTTTACTGCATGTCCATAAAACTGGGGAACATGTGAGAGACATTAAAAAGGAAGTTTCAAAATTGATACAGCAAATGCCGATATATACTGCCTTTTGGTGCCTAGTGCAGATCAAGCTCCAAAATGACTAAACCCTGCACTTCCCATAATGCATAATGTCTTACAAACTCCAGAGCTCCAATTTTCACACAGACTTTCTTTTAAAAATATTTTCTGTCTCCATGCCCAAGCCGAAATAGAGCTCCAGAGCACTTAATATTAAACAACAGCTTTTACAGGCTGAGTAGTACTGCTTGAAAAGTAAATCTTTGTGTAAAGTCAGAGAGGTCACACGACCAGAGAAACCAGAAAACACAGGACTGCAACCTGCTTTAACCCACATCATGTTTCCTGATGCTACTCGCATCAATAAAATTGTCAACAGGCCAGAACAGCAAAGGCTTTAGTTATCTGGATAACTTTATTTAGCAAAGTCTCCTCCTTTTTGGGCACAATTTATAGGAGTCAGAACAGAAACGACAGGAGTTAAGGCGGGGGACATGGGGATCGACATGCAACAAAGGTCTCCAGCTGGACACATATTGCAGTGCATGGTCGGAGAACCTGTAGGCCAGGAGGACCCCTGAGCTTTGGGTTTGTAAGTATGGATGTTCAAAAACAGTCACTGCAACTTCTATAAATGGTAGTGTGCATCTTCCCATACCTCCTGCTGCAACTGTGTTTCAGCTTATGATTAATAGCTGACTGATACTATTGCCATCTCTCTCATCTTTGCAAAGTGTCACAATCTAGTTTTCATGTTCAGCTAGTTCCTTACCATATGGAGCCATGTTGCATTAGACAATCCAGGCTAAACTGGGTGTTCACAGGTCGCTTTAAGACAGGTGTACTCACTTTCGTTCCACTGAGGTTGAACTTTGCACAGGAGTGTACTATACAGAGGCCTTGGGTACAACTGACTATGGAGGCCCACTTTGAGTTTAAGATCAATCATTTTCTTGCAATAACAAGGAAGTGAGCCAGTGTTAAAAGTCTTCTGTTTTGCTTCCTGTTGTTGGACAGTGTGAACTTGGTCTAACAGGTATAAGAAACAGGTGACCTGCAGACAGAAACTTGTCCGCTTGGCTGTAGACACCAGGCCTTCACACACTTTAATGCAATAATTCACAGCAGGTTAAATAGCAGGTTGTAGCCTGCTGTATGACTGAAATAGTACCACATAGGTTTTGCAGTAAGTAGTCAGTAATGACATACCATTGCTAAGTTAGCCTAAAGCCTCAGTGTTAGCTGTTTGTTAACAGAAGTGACTACATCATAATCAATCATCACCATCCTTGTTATCATCATCCATGCGCCCGTCAGCACTGATGTCGCACTGTGGCTTTTAGGCCTCGACTGATGCCATGTCTCATTCTCAGCCCCGTTACCGACAGAGCAAGTGACAACAGCAACATCACTGACAACGACAATAAATAGGTCCTCACCGGGAGAGTAGAGCCTTGCCAGCTGTCGAGCCCCGGCGTGCTGCGGTCCCCAGCGAGGCGCCGCGCTGCGTGCAGCTGCCCCGTGCTCATTGCCGTTCGGATCCTCCTCCGCCATGGACCGGTGCCTGATGTCGGTCTCGGAGAGAAGCGACGCCGCCATAATTCCTGTCCGCTGCCCGCCCTGCTGCCCCCCGCTTTGACTTTCAGCTACAACACATCAATTATAGATCTGTCTCGGTTAATGACTGGATGGTTTTGTTTGTGTCCCGGTCTCCGGTGGCGGTTGTTGAGGCTGAACGGAGGAGGCAGGCTGAACCAACTGATGCTAGCTGGGATGTACCGGAGCAGCCTCGCACCACCCGGAAATACACGGACGGAGCTGCGCTGACACACAGACCTATTTCACAGGGTTTTAAAGTGTGATGAACTCATGAGATGAACCGTCACACTTTACAACGCTGAGGAACAACTTGCACATGTGTCTGCATGGAGAGCGCGGGACCTTCTGTTGTATGGCGCCTATTACACGGAAATTGCCAAACAAACTTTACTTCTGCGTCCAGTTCAACTGTCACGTCAGCTGTAGGGACCGTCTGCATCTTACACGCAGGATAAAAAGTGGAAGTGGAGTGGTACCTAAAAATCTGTTTCTGGTGTGTGTGTGTGCGCGCGCGTGTGTGTTTGTGTGTGTGTGTGCGCGCGCGCGTGTATTTGTGTGTGTGTGAGTGAGTGTCGCTTATTTGTTTCCACATAAAAACTACAGACATTGAACCAAACAAAAAATAATAATAGGAAAGAGCAGTTCACTTTATTGCACTTTAAACAGTGGAATCATCTTTTCTGCTGCCTTCAAGTGCACCTTGTAAATGATGGTTAGCACTCCCTGACTTGTGGTCAAAAGAGACTAAAATTAAACATGTAACAAAAGTTAAAACTGAATTTACACCATGGTTGTCCGATTTGATTATGTGGAATGAAATGTATGACTTAAGTCAATTGTTTACCAACTGAAGACACATCAATATCATTTGTAGAACAAATATAATACAGTTTTGACCCTGAAGGCCATACACTTAAAGGGTCAGCCATGCAGGATGTTTGGCAGATGCAGAAAACCTTGAAACCAACTGATTTATACACAGGACTTACTGTGAGTCTTACTGTTCCACCAATACACAAGCAATACAAGCAACAGACAGATATTGCATTTAGGTAACGGTTAGCAGTTCCCTCTTGTAATGCTGTGGTTGTTCAGATGGCTGGTTTCGGGAGAAGGGTACACACCCATCAGCCGTCTGGCAGGGAGGGTCTCGGCAGCTGCAAAAACTCAGCTGCACATGGATACTGCTGAAACAGAAAGTTGCAGGCTGCAGAAAATATACATTCAAACAAGTCTGTCATTCTCATAGTCATTCCTAAAAATCACGGCAAGTGGAGCTCACAAAAAAGTTTAAACCTTAGATGATCATTTAGTTTTTTGAAATGTAATTTATACAAATGTATATATTAATGTATATGGTTATAGCAACACAGTTAAACACAGATCCAAAATGACGGAGAGTTCAGCAGTTCCAGTACTGAAACACGTCCTGAGGTCTCAACCTTTTATTTTTGGCTTCTTTTTGACTTTCAATAAACATAATGAATTATCAGTAAGGGACTGGTGAGGACATTTCAGTATTCATTTTTATTTGTTTTGAGTGCACACCTTTATCATTGTATTTGGACTATTGCCTTACTCACCTTAATATATAGATTTTATGAATGTTTGACCATGATGACAATCTTTCATTTTCTTTCCTATTCCCATTTGCAGTTGCAACTCATGGACACAGCAGGAATAATTGATTTGAAGGGTAGATTCACAGTTTTTCCAGTCTTTCTAAAACAATAGGCAGGTGCCCATGTGAAATTAAAACAGCATTTTCTTGCTGTAATAATTCCTTCTGTTCAGACTGGTCATGTTTCTGATGTAAGTGATGGGGGACTAAATCCACAGTTCTTACTCTGTTTATCTGAAGCCACTGTAAGACGAACACTCTGCAGATCTGTGCAGCCTCAGGCTCTTCATCTCATTGCATTGACCTGTGCGGGACCATATTGTCGAGTCTCAGGGCTTGTTCATACCAGATCTGAATATGTTTGATCCGCGAGTTATTAAATCCATCAGGTGGCCAGAGACATGTCTCCAACGGGACGGTTTAATGCTCTGCGTCTGCTGGATGTGTAAGTGGGCGTTTTTTGCCTAACAAATTAGCTGGAACAATTTGCTCAGTGAATGGTACATCATGGCTGCAGAATACTGGACATTTTCCCTTCATATTTATGCAATTATATTTTCCAAAACAACTGGGAGCTACAGACTACTGTTTACACTCCTGAACTTACATCTATCTTATCTAAGTCTGAATTTGTAACTTGCTGTACTTATATCACTCCTGTAAAATAAATGTTTTATTTAAGCAAAACATTATTTAAATTTAGTGATTATGTATTATATATATATATATATATATATATAGTTAGATATATAACACCCAACAACCTAGAGGTTTTTTTTACAGCATTGATTATCAGGTAACAGGAAATACATTAGATGTGGCTTCTCTGTTGTCACAATGTTGACATAATCAAAGTGCCCTCTGTCTGAAGAAATATTTCACTAGAGAAAATATAAAATCTTTGTTTTTTTTGTCTTTTCACGTGTTTCTTTCTGTTAATTGTTTGTCTTTCTTTTGACGTTTCTTTAACGCTTTGTTCTATATCAATAAATGTGCCTTTCAAAACCCAAACTGAGCGTCTGGCTGCTCAGCTGATTTTGAGCTTCACTTCACCAGCACCTGTAGCACTTCATAACTCTCAGTATAATTTCCATCATACTTGGAGAGTACTGCACTTGAATAATACTAATCACTTGAATAATCACTAAATATGCATTCAAGCTCACAGATGCATTTCTTTTGAATAAATGCACATCACACAGGAGTTGCTTATTTGTCATTTATTTATTTGTTTTATCTTTTTGTCTGTACTAGATTATTGCAATCTGGTTAATTCACATTTAAAAAGCAGTCATTGACCAGACGCACTGAAATCGATGATACTCATTTTTACAATAACCATTATAGGCCCCATAGAGACTGGAAAACCCAATCCAAAAAAGAAACATCTGTATGATTTTCTGCACTTTATTTTGTTTGATGTCTTTTTTTCATAGTAATTACAAAAAGGAAAAAAATATATAACAATAATCATAAAAAGGAGAGTTTTGAGGGAAAAAACTTAGGAATATTACGACTGGCAAACAAACAATCACAACACAGCACAAGTACCTACTTACGGCGAGAAATGAAAGGTACAAAAATAAAAATAAAGAAAATAAGCGCATATGGCAGAAAGAAAAAAAAAAATCAAAGAAATTGGCACCTATGAAGTTGAATACAATAAGCAACTGAGGGGACGAGAAAGTGAAGCTTTTTCCTACAATCTATTTTAAAAAATCTCAGAACAAGGGGTGGCTTCTTGCTTTTTTTCTTTTCTATTTGTTAAAAAAAATAAAATGCATGACCTGGGGAGTGATGGGTGGGAGGAGAGGAAAGGGGAGGGAAGCTGGTGGGAGGGGGGTGGGGGGGTTTGGCAGGGACAATAAAAAATACTGCACGTACAATACCTTTTTTCACTCTTCTCTTTCCTTCATCTAGCTCTTACTGTTTCTCTCACCCACTTTTTCCTTTCTTTATTTAATAGCATATCCCATTAATATTCCTTTCCCCCGCTGCTCCTAATAGCCGCGCCCAGTGGCGCGATCGTTAGAGTTTTACATGTGAGTAGCAAATGACACTTTGATTGGCTGTGATGTGGAGATGGGGGTCCCCTGCCGGCACCAGGTCGGGGGCCCTGGCTGAGCCGAGAGATCCTGCCGGGCCTCGGTCTCACTGCGCGTGCTGACTCAGTGTGTGGTTCTGGTGGGAGAGAGGGAGAGGGAGAGATAGAGAGAAAAAGTGAGAACACATGATGAGAGAAATAATGGGCTACGTGAGCATAGTGCTTTCCACTTGCCCCCCCACCCAATAATAGAACAGAAGAGAACAGAAACACAACTGCCTCCCACAGTACAGACAGCAAGGCCTCCTCGCTTTATACATAGTCTGACGAAAGAACAGAAAGAGGAAGAGAAGAGAATAGAAGGGAAAAGAAAAGACAAAACAAGACAAGCATATCAGACTACAACATAAAGTGGTAGGTGGAGACCAACAAAATAACACCTTTATACCTAAAAATATATCTTGCCCTCAAACACAATAGAAGCTGGATTGGGTAAGAACCAAATAATTACAGATCATATAGTATTTGCTCTGTTTTATTTCTTATATGTGGGAATCCAGCCCCCCGATTTGTTTATTCAGATCTGTGAAACCCTCGTGTCTTTTGATATTGTGATTAATATTTTACAGAGACCGTCTCCATACCTCCGAGACGCTTACACGCGCATCTCTCCAAAGGCATCAGCACACTACACATCAATACATAATCACAATGCAAAAAACACCTTTTTTCAAAATTAAAATTCACAACAGCATTGAGAGCGGAGAAAGCGATATTCACAGACGGCCTCGTGTGCACACATGAAGAGACCAGGCATGCACAAAAACAGACAAGTGTACAGTAAACTGCACATGAACACACACTTAATACTTAATAATACGCTTAACTTTCTCACTGAAACATAAACACACTCACACATAATTACAGGTACACTGGCATGTACAGGCTTCACCTTGGGTGTTGGGAGTGTTATACACAAAAATGCACATGTTCGCTTCAGCACTCATGATCACACACACACACACACACACACACACACACACACACACACACTCAGTCCTCTGTGGCTGTTCCATATCAGCTACAGTGGGGAACTGAACTCATGATAATCTGGATTTGCTGGTTTAGAATTTAGCTAGCATCACATGTAAAGCTGGGGAGATACTCTGTGTGTGTGTGTGTGTGTGTGTGTGTGTGTGTGTGTGTGTGTGTGCATGTGTGTAAGATTGGGAGATGATTGGAAAGATTTCTCTGGGAATTTGTGTGTGTGTGTGAGACAAATTTCCACTAGGATGCTTTCCTCCTCCGCTGTACAACTTTCTCCCTGTGAAACGTTCCCTACCTCGCGCACACACGCACACACAAATTCCCTCTGAAATCTTTTCCTATCATCCCTGCTTCTCCACACATACACACTCTCACTTACAGACACACACAACACACACACACACACACACACACACACTCAATTCCCAGTGAGATCTTCCCAATCAACACACCCCCCCCACACACACACACACACCCTTCACCACCACTAAAAAGCAGCTTTCTCAGATTAATCGCTCTCTCTTGCAGATAGGCCCCACTACAGAAAGAAAAAAAAAGACAAAAAAAGAGCAGCGGATGGGAGAATGAAAAAAGAGGAGGGGATGGGGGGATGAAGAGAACAGAGAGGCGAGGAGGGGTGGATGGGGAGAGAAATGTGAGGGATTATACGTGGTTTGGGGTTGATAAATACTTATT